GTCCGCACGCGTGCCGGCCGGCCTGGTGGGACCTTGACCCGGCGCGACCCGGAACCCTAGCCCGGCGAGCGAGTGCGCGGCTGAGGCCGCAGGCCCTGAACTTGGCCCCCAGGGGCTCCCGCCCGACTTCCTGAGGACGCTTCCCGCCCGCGCAAAGCCTGTGTCTGCATCTGCAAATGGCAGTAGACACACCACTCACCTCCTAGGTTGCTATGAGGAAGAAATGTAGTAACGCGTCGCCCCGGTGAAGGTCGGGGAATTAGTGAAGCCGTCTCAGCCCTACGAACTGTCGTTGACTTGCATTTAAAAGTAGGTAGTGGATCCAAATTATGTACAATTATCAGCACTAGGTAGCCGTTGAGTTCAGTTTGAACTTTTTTTCTGCCCTCATTGGATGAAATATTCGGTTTTTTGGATCCATCGCTGACATAGCCATGTCCCATTTTCCAAAATGAAAAACCAAAGCCCGTACAGACTTACACGTCGATTTGCTTTCTCGGTTTCCTTACATTGGGTAATTTAAATTTTACCTTTTTGTTTGATTTTAATTAAATTATGAGCCTGTAGAAAAAAAAAACAGTTGGTACTTAAAAATGAAGAAGGAAAGAACTACCTGTTTGTTAAACTCTTAACATAGGCGAAGGAGCTTTATATGATATGGCTTATTTAATGTAATCCTATTAGCAATCTTAAGTAAGTAAGAGGATCTGCATTTTAGGGATGAGAAGGAACCTCAAAGAGCTTGAGACGCATGGCTGGAAAAGGCATTTGAACCCAAGTTTTTCAGGCTTCCGGCCCAGCGCCCTTCCCAGAACTGAAGCTCAACTTGTGTTTCCAAATTTGATGCTTGTGTTTCCAGGTTGTTTAACAGATCAACCTCCTTTCATTTTTATTCAGTTACTGCGTATCTGCTGTTTTATTTTTTCACACAGGTGATTTAAACTTATATTCTTTGCAAAAAAGACAGCTGATATTGAAGGTGTTCACCTAAAGTGCCCAAGGTCACTTGAAGCAAGTAAACTGGAGATTCGGACCTGGGTCCATCCAGTACCCCCGCTTCCTGCTGGGGCCAAATGCTCTTAACCCTGGAGTCCCTGTCTGTATACAGTCTGTTGGTTCTTTGATTATTCTCTCAGGTCCCCTGTCCCTTCTGACGGCTCCTTGGGCTCTTGTCTGCCTTAACTGTGAGGTGTTCTTTAGGACTCAGTCTAAACCTAGTTAATTCATTAATTCTATAAAATAGTGAATGTATGATGTCTTTGAAGCTCTGAAACTGAGCATAATTGCCATGGTCATGGCAGAGGTGAAAACCCATAAGAATTTACAGATCGAGGTAGGTGTCGTGGGAGGAAATCAGGGAACCTCCGGCATGAGGTCATAGAAGGCCTCTCTGAGAAGGTGACATTCAGCTGAGACCTAAGGGTCCATGTCCATGAGAGCCCTGAATGGGAGAAGTCAGGTGTGCTGGGAAACCCCAGAAAAATCTAGGAGGCAGGAGTGAAGGGACAGCAAAGGACAGGTGGTGAGGAGCAGGGGCCGGGTAATTCCAGGCCTTAAAAGCCATTTAGAGAACTTGGATTTTATTCTGAGAGCCATGGAAGACATTTAAAGGTATAAACTCTAGTGTGACATGATCCGATGTATGTTTCTGAAAGTTCCATCTGACTTTGAAAAGAGGACAGGACCAGGGTAGTTAATAGCCAACAGGATGGATGCTGGTTCTATTTACTGAGAGTTGTTTGTTCCGTAGGTCAGAGTGCCCAGCACTTGCCAGGTGCTGCTGGGAAACGTCGGTGAATGAGGTGCACTAGGTGCCTGCCATCTGGGAGCTTGCTAGTAATTCAGAGGAGGAGGAACAGATGTGGGGTGGGGAGGGGGGCGGATCCAGGGCCGTTTTGAGCCTGACGAAGTTTGAGATGGCTGTGAGCTATTCAGATGGAAAGGCCAAGTAGGCAGTTGGCCGACTGGACATGCATGACTCCTTAAAGGAGATGTCTGGACAGCATCTGAGAGTTGTCAACATATAGGAATGCAAAATGTTGACAGATCCATGGGTTTCAATGTACTGTTTTGTATTTGAAAGTTTTCATAATAAAATGCTTTTTAAACTACAGGAATGGATGAGATTGTTTGAGGATAGAGAAGGAGCTGAGAAACAGGTCCTGGGATGTGTTGACATTTACAGGCTGGATGTAGGAAAGAGGCAGCAAGGGAGACTGAGAAGGGGCAGCTGTGAGGTCATTGTTGTGGGTCAGTGCCCAGGAGAGGTGATTGAAGGAGGGAGGGGTTCAGCTATGCCTGATGCCGCTAAAAGGTTAAGTAAGACGACAGAAGAAAACCGCGTTTACCAGCAGGGGTGCTGTGGGTGACCTTGCATTAGTGGTTTCAGAGGGGAACAAGGAAGTCTTCCCTGGGAGACTTAACTTGCCAGCACATCTGACTTAGCTCTGCCCAGTGCCAGGCCCTCCACTCAGCCGCTTATGGAACATTGCACTCGTGTCCCACAGGTGCCAGAACAGGCTGTGTACCCAGAATTTAACTCATCTTCCTCCTGCAAAGCCTCCTTGCTTCTCCTGGGTGTTTCCCCCCAGTAATGGAACATTTTCCATTTAGTGATCCAGGCCAGAAAGTCTTCCCTAAGCCCATCTAGTCAGTTGCCTGACCTGTTAGTTCTGCCTCCAGCATGTCTGGACTCCACCCCCTGTATCCACACTCCCCCAACTCATCTCTGGCAGCATATCTGGGCTGAATTCCTACAAAGAGCGTGGACTTGAAGCCACTGGTGAGGGGGACAACTAAAGAATCTGAGCAGGACGTTTTCCTACTAGAAAGAGCTCTATGACACGAACCGTGACTAATCTCTCATCCCTTCCATCCCACCCCTACCAAGAAAACCTCTAAAAAAATTTGGGGGGATATTGGGGACATTTTAATGTGGGGTGGATATTAGATTTAGAATCACTATTTTCCTTAGATGTGATATTAGTGTCATGGTTTTGTCCTTGTTCTTAGGAGATGCATGCATGTATTTAGAGATGGAGGGTCATTATGTCTGCACGCTAGTTTCAAATGGTTTGGTAAAGATAAAAAAGCAAATATGTATATATAAAGACTAAAGATGATAAAATGCTTATTTTCCATCTAGATGAGGGCATAGAGGCCTTCATTATACTGTCATTTCATCATCTGTGAAGTTTTTAAAAAATGAAGTTAGGGAACAGCTCTCTCTAGCAGCAATGGGGAAGACAGATTGATTGGGGTTAGCAGACGGGTTGGTGGTGGGGAGGGGATTCTGGTAGCTTCTTGCTTTAATGCCAGACTCTTCTTTGGCTCCAGGCCTTCAGTCCCCTCCCTTTCCCCTCAGCCATATTCACACACTCCTGCTTTGGCCAAGAGTAGAGCTCTGCCTCCTAGGATGTCCTTCCTCCCATGGGCGTCACCCTGACAAACCGCTCCCCATCTTTCATGTCGTCAGCTCAGCAAGTGCCTCTTCAGAGAGTTGGTCCATGTCCCCCTCAGGCCGACCCAGACTCCACTTCCTCTGCCCCCACCCCCGCCATACCCTGTCTCCATGGAGAGCCTGCTTCCTCTTCCTTGGGCTGTGATCGTATTTGACTGCTCCCACCAGCTCTGAAGTCAGGGCCAAGCTTATTCATCTTTGTATCCTCTGCCTGGCCCAGTGCCTGGCACATACGGTGCGCAATCAGTTGGTATTTGGTGATCAAATGACCAAAGCCACTTACACCACTGCTGCCTCCTATGGTCTCGATGTTAAATGTATTTCCCTTCCATAATTTGCTCCAACTAAACCAAAACACCGTCTTGTACACCTAATCAGGGCCCAAGTCTTCTCCTTTTCACCTCAGCAGTGTCTTTTGAATGTATTCTTTCCCCATCATCCCTTTTGCCATCATCTTAACCCAGGACCATCTTTTGGTCCATCCAGTAGGCACTGAATGCCTCCTGTGTGCCTGGTGCTGCTGGGCCAGGCAGCCCGCCAGGGACCCGAGTTCCTTGCCCTTCTTGTTGCATGCAGTCCGCCCACCGCACCACTGCCAGGCTGCTTTTTCCACTTAGATCTTTTCTGAGAACTTGCGAGCATTGCACCAGGTACCGGATAAAGTCCAGCTGACAGGCGTGGTGCACGGGAGCCCAGCCCCCCATACCCCTTGCACTCCCGTGGTCTCTTCCCCTGTTCTCCCACACCCTGTTCTCTTGTCTTCCTGAACTCTTTGCTGTTCCAGAAATATGCCATACAACTTCACAACTCCGCAGCCCTGAACATGTTGTTCCCTTTGACTGGAATTATCACCAGCTTTGTCCACCTGTCATGCTTGTCCTCCAAGACAGAGCTGGAATGTCTCCCCTGGAGTCCCTCCCACTCCTTGCAGACCAAGGCCAAGGCCAAGACTGTTCATTCCCCCCTGGTTCTCACAGTGTGTGTGTGAGTCTCTAATGTCCGTGACTGCTTCAGCTGTTTACCAGGAGGTTTTTCCCATGAGGCCGGGCAGGCGAGGCTTCTGGTTCATCTTTATATCCACCGAGCCAGGCATGCAATGCTTACTCTATTTAAAGTCTAGTGTTTTGCAGGATGTGCTGCCCTCCACCCCACCCTCTGTAAAGTGCCACACAATGCTTATGTGATGTTATAAAGACAGCTGATCATGGTGTTTGTCCCTCAGTAAAGATCGTCCATCCAGGTCTTATCACCCTGACAGCTGTTGGCATGGCCACTTCTACCCTTTTCCATGATTCAGCTTGGACAGCTAGATGGACTGGGCACGTGAGGCACTTTGGTCACCTGCCACTCGGAAGATATGAGTTCGATGGTCAGGTGAGGCTAACACTGGGCTAGTCTGTTTTTCATTTGTCAAGACAATTGCTGCCCAAATTTGACAGGCAAACAACACTGAGGTTCTTGTGTGTGTCCTGTGATGTTGACTGTTTCTTAGGTTAATCTTTAGTTTACAAAGTGTCACACCCCTCACTTCATTTTACCCGGCCTAAAGTAAATCCCTCTGATATTATTAAAAGATGGAATGAACATCCACTTGGAGAGATTTATGTGGGGGAGGCATCCCTTATTAGTGGAAATATTTTGAAATGTACAGTTAGATCTGGGTTTGATTTTTATCTTGCCACTTCTTTGCTCAGATTGTGTAAACTCTGTGAGCCAATCCTTAAAATGAAATACAACAATACCTACATTGCTAGCTTTTTCCAAGGATTAAATAATAGACCTAAAACATCCTGCCTAGTCCAGTGCCTAGCAGGAAGCTTGTGCTTTCTCATTTGTAATCCCCTTACATTCTAAAGAGGAAGAGAAAAATTTGGATTTTTTTCCCCTCCAGATTTAGTCTGCCAATAAATCTTTATTATGCTCTCTTATCTTGTAAAGTATTAAATATCAACATGTGTGCGCATGATACATGCTTATCTATGCATTTCTGAAAAGATTCATTAAGAACTATTAGTAGTGGTTGCTTTGGTGAGTATTTCTTAGTGAAATTCCCCAGTGCTGATATTTTTAGGAACTTATTGTACCCCACTCCTACTTGTTCATAATTGTTATTCCTAAACTCTTAAAATGTATTTAATCAAAAAAAATTTTTTGAACACAATCTCTGTTCAGTAAATTTAAAATCTAAAACAAAGAAAAAACAGAAATTATACAAAGTCCTAGTAATAAATCTTAAAACTTTCTACTTTGTATAGCACTAATTTTATATGCCTGCCATGTTACTTCATAATATTATTCAAGCAAATATTCCAAAATGTGGTGTGCTTGAAACATTTTAAACAAATTGACAAAATGTTTGTATTTTTATTGAAAGAAATTTTACCATGATTCATTTGGAGAATTGCCTTCTTCAGAATTAGTTTATAGAACCGAAGAATGAATTGAAAACAGAAACGGAGGAGGATATAGCTCAAGTGGTAGAGTACATGCTTAGCATGCATGAAGTCCTGGGTTCAAGCCCCAGTACTTCCATCTAAATAATTACCTCCCTCCCCTAAAGCCAAAAAACTAACCAACTAACTAAAAAAATAAAAAGATTTTGGTTTTTGCTAAAGGGCTAATAGTTTTTAGATACTATTGCTTTTAATTTTAAAAGGTTTTTTTTAAGTAGTTTAAAAAATCTTTTAATCTCCCACTGTTAATCGGGTGCTGTCCTATGTGCTTTAAAAGCATGTTTCCTGAGGTATGAGGTTAAACGGGTACTTAAAAATGTACAAAAGTGAAAACCACGGTCAGTAGAGATGTTCTCTGGAGAAAGCTGTGTCTCCCAATTTAATCCTGTCCTTCCTTCAGGGATACCACCATTAACAGTTTCCTTAATTCTAAGGAATTTTAATATATAGTTAAAGCAAAATGGAAGAATTTCCAACTTCATTTTACAAATACCACTTAGGACTATACATTTTTGTGCTATGCACTTACAAGAAAAATTACATATACTGGTAGTGTTATTTTGCTTATTCAGTATAAGCCTGCTGCTTTTTAATCTTGAAAGACTTGGAAAAAATGCTTTTATATTTCTTGATCATTACTGTATTTACAGAAAATGTTTTATCATTAATTTCATATTTGGATATTAGATGTTTATATATTTGTAAGCTTCCATCAGTCAAAAAAAGTCTTTTTATCTGGTTTTTAGCTATTTGTGATACTATGAATTGGTTTTTAAGTGAAAAGAACATAATATGGGGAGAAAATGGCTCTGTAATGTTTGTTCATTAAAGCAGCAAGTTGACTTTGTAAGCAAAAAAAAAAGGCTGCCATTGTAACACGTGAAATTTAGAATTCTATAATTTCTAATGCACCATAGTTGAATAAGAATAGGACTTTGTATTATTTAATGTGGAATCCACATATTCATCTCATGAGAGTTTTCCTTGCCTCTTGTTTAAACTCCCCTTCCTCAATACCTGAGGTCACTCTCTTTTCCTCTTATGTTTGCTTTGTGGTATCTGTGTTCTTAAGCAGGCCTGTTAAGCAGATTGAAAGGAATCTGTAGAAAACCATCTAATGTGTCTGAGAGAGCCCCCAGAAAATGCTCCCCCTGGCCTGTCAGCAGCCCGACCTCCTTTTGAAGTACTGGATAAGATCTGAGCACTTATATTGGTCACTTGCATATTACCTAGTCCTAGCATATTACCACCTTTGGTGTGATCTAGCAAAGGACGGGAGAGATCATTTATGTGGACGTCAATTAAAGATCAAAACAATAAAGACTGTGCTGTGATAGCCCTGGCCAGAGGGGATGGTCATCAGCTATACAAGGGATCGTGCAGAAACACTGGGCACAGACTCAGAAGGCTCCATCCTGTGTGATTCCATACATAAGACATTCCGGAAAAGGCAAACTACAGGAACATAGATCAGTGGTTGCATGCAGCTGGAAGAGCTGATTATAGGAGGAGGAATTTTAGGGGGTAAAGGAACTGTTCCATCCCCTACTGTGGTGGTGGTTACATGAGTTTATGTGCATTTGTCAAAACTTGTAGAACTGTATGTCCAAAAAAGAGTGACTTTACTGTACATGAATCTGAATTTAAGTGGAGAAGAAGGGA